CGTTTGAACCCGGGAGGCAGAGGTTGCAGTGAGCCGAGATTGCACCACTGCACTCCATCCTGGGCCACAAAACAAGATTCTGTCTAAAGAAAGGGAGGGAGGGAGGAAGGAAGGAAGGAAGGAAGGAAGGAAGGAAAGGGAAAGGAAGAAAAGGAAGGACGGAAGGAAGGAAGGAATTGGATAAGGCTGAAAACGCTTAACCGTTCCAAAGCCCGTTCGAAAGTGAAGCGGTGAGGCCTAAGGATCTGATTAGTGGTGAAAGACAGATCTTTCCGCTCGGTAGTTGATTGGAGGAGGCTCCCGGTCGGGGCGGAGCCAGTCTCAGCTCCTCCCTCTTCCTGCAGCTGGGAGTTAACCCCTCAACTGCCGGGACCCAGGAGTTGAAGCCGGGGTTGGAGGGCTCTCTGGCGGTGGGGGACACACTGTATTTGGTCAATGGCCTCCACCCACTGACCCTGCGCTGGGAAGAGATCCGCACACCAGAATCCCAGCCAGATACTCCACCTGGCACCCCTCCGGTGTCCCAAGACGAGAAGAGAGATGCTGAGCCTCCCAAGAAGCGTATGCGGAAGTCAAACCCCGGCTGGGAGAACTTGGAGAAGCTGCTAGTGTTCACCGCAGCTGGGGTGAAACCCCAGGGCAAGGTGAGGACTACACCGAGGGCTGAGGGAGCCGCCACAGACTGGGACCCAATCCCAGGTTTGTTGTGTGCTCTCTCAACTTCTTTTTAGCCTCTATTTACTTTTCTGAGAAATGGGCCTAATGATAAACGCAGGGTTTGTTGTAAGCAGTGGGGAAAATGATGTATGTCAGCTCCTGCATGTCCCACGGTGACCACCCAGTCATCAGCAATGACCATGACCGTCTCAGTAGGAGCTATTATGATGAGTATTTTTTAGGTCCAGAGAGACTTGAGTTCAAATGCTGTTACCACCACATTCTGAGTCCCATGTCTCTCGTCTCTACGATGCTGAATCCATAAAAAGCACGTGGCATAGTCCCTGACATGCAGTTAGCACCCAAAGCTTTGCTCCTGTTTTTATTTTCACGATTAGCAGCCCACCAAGGTGGAGAAGGCCAGGGGAGGAAGGAGGCTGGGTAAGACATTAACCCCCATTTTAAAGACTGTAATCCTGGGGCCGGGGTCATAAGGAGTAACAGGAGACAGTAAGGTTAAGATATCGGGCCGCACTCAGAGGCTTCACGGATACTTGACATGGAGGTGTTCTGTGACTTGGTTTCCCCATCTGTGAGATGGCAGGGTTGGTGTGAGTCAGCCTGTGAGTGGAGAGGGTCAGAGGTATCACAGTGCTGCTGTTCCTCTTTCCTTGGTGATACCAGGTGGCTGGCTTTGATCTGGACGGGACCCTCATCACCACACGCTCTGGGAAGGTCTTTCCCACTGGCCCCAGTGACTGGAGGTGATAAGAGGCAAAACAAGGGAGTGAGTGAGGCCTGGAGTCCACCTCTGGCCCCGGGTCACCCCTCCCGCTTCCTACCTGCCCTAGGATCTTGTACCCAGAGATTCCGCGTAAGCTCCGGGAGCTGGAAGCCGAGGGCTACAAGGTATGTGCAGCCGCCTGTCTGCATGGGTGCGTGCAGGTGGCGGTCCAACCTCAGGTCAGACCAAGATCCTGGTGAGCAGGCGCCTCGTGACACTCTCTGCTCCCCAGCTGGTGATCTTCACCAACCAGATGAGCATCGGGCGCGGGAAGCTGCCAGCCGAAGAGTTCAAGGCCAAGGTGGAGGCTGTGGTGGAGAAGCTGGGGGTCCCCTTCCAGGTATGGCTGGAAGGGAGGCTGGGAGCTATGTGGGGGCACAGAGATCCAGAGAGAGGGCTTCAGACTTCAGGATAAGTGGGGCAGAGGCCTCAGGCGGTGTGATGCTGATAAAAACCCATCATCAGCTACAAATTCTGTAGCTCTGCTTGGCTGGGTGAGGGCTGGGGTAGCATCCAGTAGGTGCTTGAGGAGGAGCTGAGGCTGGTGGCCCCCTCCCATCCACAGGTGCTGGTGGCCACGCACGCAGGCTTGTACCGGAAGCCAGTGACAGGCATGTGGGACCATCTGCAGGAGCAGGTGAGTCTCGCGGTCTGCCCGGCTTCCCTCCTTTTCCTCGCTCCAGCCCCTCACTCCTGGGCTCCCCGCTCTCCGGCCAGGTCGGGGCCTCCTTACTCCTCCTGTCCTCCCTCGGACCTGCCTTCTGTTTTTTTGCTGTCACATCTTAGATGTTGGTTTACGAGACCAATGCTCTTAAACTTTCTAAATCAGAGTAGTAGAGAGAGAAGCTGTTCATTCCTTCCTTCATTCGTTTGTGTGTGCATTTGTTCTGAAGTTTAGCACGTTCTTGAGCTGAAGATAGCGGTGAGCGGGACAGCCTGCTCCAGCGGGGCCCGCACGGCGAAGGCCAAGACTCTGGGCGGATGGGCAGACTGGCGTGTAAAACAGTGGGAGGGAGGGAGGTGGAGAAAGCAGGCATCGTTTCAGCTGTGGTGGGCACGGATGGCCTCTGAGGAGGTGACATCCGAGGAAAAGGCCTAAGACAGAGGAAGGAGGGAGCCACGTGGACACCTGGGGAAAGTGGTCCCCCCCCCCCACAGGAGTGACAGCAAGTGCAAAGGCCCTGAGGCAGCCCCTAGCCTGGGCTAGTTAGGGACAGGAAGGCCCATGCGGCTGGCCCTAAGCGAGGGAGGGGAGAGGGCAGGGCCACAGGGAGGGCCCCGCTTTTGCCCTGAGGGAGGGGGAGCCTGGGAGGCGCCGGCCCCCAGGAGGCTGGAGCTGAGGCAGAGCGGGCGCCCTCTGGTGGCCGCGTGGGGAACCGGCGGAGGCGGAAGCCGGGAGGCCTGGAGGGAGGGGGCTGCGTGGAGAGACCACAGGGCCCAGGAGCACGGTGCAAAGTGGCTGGATGGTGGGGACATGAAAAGTTGGAGGATGAGGCCTGATGCGCGGCATAGACCAGGCGAAGCAGCCCCAGGGACCCGCTACTGCTGCGGCGGGACGGTTATGGGAAGGGCCTCCTCACTGCCATCTCCCGCAGGCCAACGAGGGCGCGCCCATCTCCATCCGGGACAGCATCTTTGTGGGAGGTAAGGGCCTGGAGGCTGCTGAGGGTGGGCTGGGACCCCTCCCTCCGAGCTGGTGGGGACAGTGTGTCCCGTGTGTTCCAGACGCAGCCGGACGCCCGGCCAACTGGGCCCCAGGGCGGAAGAAGAAAGACTTCTCCTGCGCAGATCGCCTGGTGAGGCCCCTGCCCGCTGCCCCGCGCCCGAGCCCGAGCCCGAGCCGGGCCTGTGTCTGATGTCCGTTCTCAACCCCTAGTTTGCCCTCAACCTTGGCCTGCCCTTCGCCACGCCTGAGGAGTTCTTCCTGAAGTGGCCAGCAGCCGGCTTTGAGCTCCCAGCCTTTGACCCGGTGAGGCCCTGGGGTGGGGGTGGGAGCGGGAGGGCTCCCGGAGACGGGGACAGCGTCTCACGCGTGCGCCCCTCCCCTCGCAGAGGACTCTCTCCCGCTCAGGACCTCTCTGCCTCCCCGAGTCCAGGGCCCTCCTGAGCTCTAGCCCGGAGGTGGTTGTCGCCGTGGGATTCCCTGGGGGTGAGTGCCCTGCCCCTGTGCCCTGAGCCCCTCCAGGGTCCTAGGCCCCCCACCGACACTGCCCCCCACACAGCCGGGAAGTCCACCTTTCTCAAGAAGCACCTCGTGTCGGCCGGATACGTCCATGTGAACAGGGTATGACTAGGCTTTGGCCGCCCCGAATCTATTCAGTTCCCATCTCCACCGCTCAACTAGTTTGGGGCGGCTTCCCTCTATCACTGCCTCCCCGACCCCGCTCTGGGTCTTCTCTCCCCTCGGGTCTCCGGATCCGTTTGTGACCTCTCGTGTCCCCAGGACACGCTAGGCTCCTGGCAGCGCTGTGTGACCGCGTGTGAGACAGCCCTGAAGCAAGGGAAACGGGTCGCCATCGACAACACAAACCCGGACTCCGCGAGCCGCGCCAGGTAGCGGGGAGCCTGCGGTAGGGTGGGCGGGGCCTGCGGTGGGGCGGGCGAGGCGGGCGGGGCCTGCACATCCAGCTCCTTCCCCCACAGGTACGTCCAGTGCGCCCGAGCCGCGGGCTTCCCCTGCCGCTGCTTCCTCTTCACCGCCACTCTGGAGCAGGCGCGCCACAACAACCGGGTGAGCCCGCTAGGCCCGGTCACCCCCCGGGGATGCACCCCGACCCCCCTCCTCACCCCCAGGTGCCCCCTCCCTCCCCTGACCCCTGGGCCTTTCGCCCCTTCTGATATCCCCACAGTTTCGAGAGATGACGGACTCCTCTCATGTCCCCGTATCAGACATGGTCATGTATGGCTACAGGTACTGTTGGGGACGGCAGGGGGGAGGGGCGCCGGCTGGGCCACATGAGCCAGGCTGTCCCTCACTGTTCCCACCACTGCCAGGAAGCAGTTCGAGGCCCCGACGCTGGCCGAAGGCTTCTCTGCCATCCTGGAGATCCCGTTCCGGCTGTGCCTGGAGCCGAGGCTTGAGCGGCTGTACTGCCAGTTCTCCGAGGGCTGAGCCCCGCCCAGCTCCCCTCCACAATAAATGTTGTTTCTCCTTGAGCTTGGCCGGCATTTTGCTGGGAGGAGGGGCTCCAGGCCTGGCAGTTTTTTACATGGATGGAGGCTTTAGGGACATTTTCCGGTAACAGAAGGTGGGGTCTTACAGAAGGGATTGCAGCTTTGCTGGGACCTGGCATGGGCACGTTAGCCGGGGAACGCACAGGGCAGGGCACTGCCTGGCTGCCTGAGAGCCAGCTGGTGAGCCCACAAGCCCCAACCCAGGGGCTCGCTCAAGGCCAGGTGTGACCCCTGAACTTGAACCCAGGGCCTATGGATCTGGAGATTGCTGGGGAAGAGGGTGTGGGCAGCCGAGAGCCAGTGAGTATCCAGGCTGTCCAGGCCTGCTGGGCCACCTTATGGCTAGGGGGCTGCCAGGCATGGGGCAGTGAGTAGAGGGGGCAGGCAGATTTTTAAAAGGCTTTATTAGGGAAACGTAGAGGGGTGGGGACCATCCTTGGAGGCCTCAGGACACCATCCTCCATGTTGCTGGGCAGTTGAAGTCCCCAGGGGCCCCTGTTCAGAAGCATGTCACCTGGGGGCAGGGGTGCAGTGGGGGCTGCTGGCCACAAGCTCCCAAGCACTGACCCACATCCCTGTGGGCAGAGGCCCGGCCCCACCCAGGCCTGGACACTGCACCTCCCATGGCCCTGCAGCCGGGATACAGTTTCCCAGACAGCCTAGGACTGCCAGGACTGCCGCCTCTCCCTCTGCTCTGGTCGCCCCAAGGCCAAGGTCGCCCTGCTTTCCCAACCGCACCCACGCCCCCCCCCATGCCCCAGGGTCCCTCCTGTACATGACAGGGTCACCACTCACCAGTCTCTGCCGGGGCCTCATCTGTGACTCTGGAGGGGCCCAGCCCGGGGTGGCCACTACCCCCCCATCTGTGGGAGGAATCAGAGGCCAGTGGTGAGCAGGCAGGATGGGTGGGGGGGAGGCTGAGCAGCCCTGGGGCCCGGCTGCCTCACCCCTCGTTGCTGCTGCTCCTGCTCCAGGTTCCGCTGCAGGACCTGCTGCTGGTTGGCAATGACACGCCGGATGCCGTTGACAAAGTTGCCCTGGTCGTGGGGGATGAGGCCGATGAAGATTTTCTTCTCCGAAGAATACAGGAGCATAAGCACGCGGATCTCACACGATGCTTTGTAGGAAAAGTGCACGCAACCAGCCTGGCAGGCACAGGGCGTGGTGTCAGTAGACAGCACCACAGGGACTCAGGCCGCAGGGACAAGCATCCCTCCAACCACGGCACCACGCCGTGGGCTCGATGAGCCAGACACAGCCTAACTGCTCTGTCCTCACACCTCCCCACCAGTCCCGGAGGTGGGCCCCCTTATTAGGATGACACGGTGGCCAAGAGCAATGGGTGGGTCAAAGGCCAACAAGCTCTTTTGGGAAGGGCCCAAGAACTTGCGTTTCAGAGCTCCTGGGCAGGCCAGGCTATGTCTGGGGCCAGCTCACCACAGCCGCCTGAGCCAACCGGTCATGGCTTCAACTCGGGAACCCAAGGGATCGGCAGCAGCTGGCCCAGCACAGGTGAGGGCTGAGGTACATGGAGCCTTTATGCACTTCCCTGAGGAAACTGTGTGTGTGTGTGTGAGACTGTTTCACTCCTGTTGCCCAGGCTGGAGTGCAATGGCGTGATCTCAGCTCACTGCAACCTCCACCTCCTGGGTTCAAGCCATTCTTGTGACTCAGCCTCCGGAGTAGCTATCATGGCCAGCTAATTTTTGTATTTTTAATAAAGACAGGGTTTCACCACGTTGGCCAGGCTGGTCTCGAACTCCCGACCTCAGGTGATCCACCCTCCTCGGCCTCCCAAAGTGCTGGGATTACAGACATGAGCCACCGCGCCTGGCCTGAGGGAACTCTTGCAATGCTTTAATGTAAAAGCATCTACACCCAGGCCCCGTCACCCACTAACAGCTTTGTGGACAGTTTACTCAGACTAAGGCGAAGGTAATTTTAAGGTAGTTTCGGGACAGATGTTACGTAAGTATGGCCCAGCTGGAAGGTGGACACCAGGGGAGAGGGTGCAGAAGCACCAAAGTCCAACCCTCCCCACCTCACAGATGGAGAAACTGAGCCCCAGAGAGAGAAGACTCAGCCGAGACTCCCCCAGATAAGATGATCACCAGATACTCTGGGACCTTGCTGGGGACAGACAGCCCTCCCTACCCAGCAATGGGCCTTTGGGATGTGGCACAAGCTCCCGGGAAACCTGGAGTGATAAGGGCACCTGTCCCGGGGGAGCAGAGAGCATGGAGTTGGTGCTTTGGGACATCAGCACCTGGTGCCGAGTCAGTCCTGATGTGGCAGAGGAGCGGCAGGCCCCTGCATAACCGGGGTCAGTGCCCCCGTCCAGTGCCGTGGGGACAGCACAGAGCCCTCAGGAGCCACGCCCACACTAGCCACCCTCTCTCCCCAGCTGTCCAGGACATGGTGCTCTGTTCCTCTCCCAGGTGCACCCCCCGTGAGCGGTCCTGCCTCGCTCTACCCTGGCTCCCTCTGCCCTGGCCGGCCCCTCCCCAGCGTTTGCCGGCGCCACTCACGAAGCCGTTGTCCATGATCCGGCACAGGCTCTTCAGTGTCTCCAGGTCCTTGGTGAAGTGGAACTGGACCAGGCGCGAGTTCCGAAACAGCGGCACCAAGGTGGTCTGCGGGGAAGCGAGGGGACCCCCGGTTCTGGCTTCTCAAACCACGGCCTCCTGCTCCCAGCCTGCTGAGTCCCCCAGGCCCAGGACCAAACTGAGGCTCCCCTGTCCTCCTCACCTCAGGAAACTGTCATCTCCACCCGTCAACCAGCCTAATCCTGGAGTGCTGTGGAAGCCGCTCTCAGACCCCTTGGCAGCTCCCCAGGTCCAGATTGAGGCTGCCCCTGCCCCGCTCAGTCCCTGCACAGCCACCAGCTGGGTGCCTGGGACCCCTTGGAACCAGGCCTGAGGACCTACCCACTGCCCCTGCTTCAGCACCCTCAGCTCCACTCCCTCATGGCCAGCTCAGGCCACCCAGGGAGGCGCTCTTGCCCCCAGTCCCGCCCTCTGGAATGGCTACTGCTTGCAGGCTTGACAGCCCGGCCCCAGCCCCTCACCAGCAGCTGCTGCGGGATGAGCTGCATGTACAGCTTCCTTGGCCACTGCTCGGTCCTCCTGTGGGGCACGAGGGGACGAGGGTCAGGAGGCCCCAGCTCCCCTGGACGCTGCCACCGCCCCCAGCCCGGCACTCACAGGATCTCCCCCTGGTTCACGTAGACGTGGGACGGCAGCCACCTCTTGGACCGACTGTTGGGCTCAGGCCTGGGCTTTTGGGGGAGAGATAAAGAGGAGCCCTCAGGGCTGGAGACCCCCAACCCCAGTGTCCCCTCCCAGCCGCAGTCCGTGAGGATCTGGGGGTCCCAGGTCCCCGGGCTGCCGAGGGCTCACCTCCTGCCACTCCATGACGCCGCTCCATGCCAGAAACTTGTTGTTGACGATCTGGACTGGGCCTGAGTTGACACCACCAGGTCCCACTGCCGCTTGGAAGGGAAGGGGGTGGGAAGAAGGGGCCCTGGGTCCTGGGAAACCTGTCTGTCCTGGGGTCTGCCGTCCCTCCCTCCGAGTCTTGTCCTGTCGACCCCAGCTGGGTCCATTCTCTAGCCCCAGGGGAACAGGCCCTGCCCCCTCACCTGCTCACAGCCCCCCATGGCTCCCCAGTGGCCTGAGACAGGTCCTGGCCCTCACCTGGTGCACAGGACCTGCAGAGTCTGCCTCAACTGGCAAGGCATGACCAGGACACGTGGTCACCGGGCAGGGCCTTCCAGCCTCACGATGATCCCAACCCCTGCCCAGCTCCCCACTCCACTGGCTTCCCCACCGCTGCGCCAAGACCCACCCTCCGGCCCTTCAGAGCCACCTGGTGGCCGCTTTTCCGTGGAGCCCTGATGGGAACCCGCCCGGCCTCCTCTGGGCTCCCCTGCGGCTCCTTGCTCCAGTCATCGCATCACACTCCGCCCACACCAAGTCTGGCTGCCCATCCAGGGCGGTGGGGCCTAACTCCACTCTGTCCTCAGAGGGGCTGTGCTCGGCGGCACACCTGCTTGCGGGTGGTGATGACCTGCCGGATGGCGCTGACGAAGCCGCTCTGGTCGTAGGGGATGAGGCCCATGAAGATCTTCTTCTTGGACGAGTACAGGAGCATGAGCACGCGCACCTCACAGGGCGAGATGTGGGGGAACAGCATGCAACCCGCCTGTGGGGGCCGCGGGTCAGGACCCCGTGGGCACTGCCCGGGGCCGCCATGCCCCCACCACCCTGGACTGCCCCACCTGTAGGGGACGAAGGGAGGTCATTGGTGGACAGAGGCCCCCACAGTCAAGGCCACGGCCATAGGTGAGGGGCCTCTGAGAGCCCGTGCAGCACCCACTGGCATCCCCCGACCCTGCCATGGCTGAGGTTGGAGTGGCGCCCGGCACCCAGGCTGTGGTGAGAACGCCGAGAAGGCATCACCGCCCGCCCACATCGTCCCCTGCCGCCAGCCCTCCTGCCTGCCTGATGGGGTGACCTGGCCTGGGGGTTAAGAGCACAGGCTTAAGAGCACAGACCCCACCGCTCTGCTGCCTCCTAGCTGTGTGACCTAACACCAGCCACCTCCTGTTTCTGGGCCTCCATTTCATCATCTGTAAAACGGGGTAATAGTGCACACACTTGGTGCCACATAAAGGCTCAACAGATAAAGTACTGGTACCTCTTGGACGGGGCATGGGAGAACTAAGCCTGACAGATGTGCCTGGCTGTGGTGTCTGAAGTGGTGGGCCCGTTCAGAACCCCATGTCCCCTCCCCACACTGGGCCACCCTCCACAGTGCTGTACCCTACACACTGCCAGCCTAACCTCTCGACCTCGGTGTCAGCCCAGGGATCACCTGCTCAGGGCCCTGTCCCTGGCCTCCCTGGAGCCACGCACAGTCATCCTCCCAGGGCCATGCCTGGGGGGCGAATGCGGATGCCCACCTTCCCTACAGACTGGGTACTTGGGGCCTGGACATGGCAGGCCCTCAACAAACAGTGCTGGGTGAAGGGGGACGGGTCAGCTAAGAGACCTCATGCCAGGCACAAGCCCTGGTCTGCCCCTGGTGCTCTGAGGGAGAAGGGAGGCCAAAGCGGAACCCAGTGCACCTCAGAGCGGCAGCTGGAACGGGGTAGAGGCAGACTGTCCCAAAGGGGAACAGGGACTAAGAATGTCCCAGAGCCAGGTCCTCTGGGCAGAGGACTCGCTCCCACCCCATCCCTGCCTCCTCTCCAGCACCTGCCGTCTTTCACAGTCCCATCCTCCTTGCTGACCTGCCCTGCCCCAGAATCCCAGTCACCTGAACAGCCTCACCAGCTAGGTTCACTGAGGACTCACTAGGTACTAAAGTCACCATCTCAAGCACTCTACACAAACTCCCTCCCTCCAGCCTCCCAGTGGCCCTAGGAAGCACGGCTCCTATTAGCCCATTTTACAGACCAGAATACCAAGCCCCGATGCGCCACTCCCTCCTGGCTCTTATGCCTAGCACACCCATTTACCAGGTTCCTGCCATACGCTGTGTGTCCCCGACAGGCTCCTGGCCCCAGTCCCTCTGTGCACTCACACCCCAAGGGCCACCTCAGAGCTGGGCACAGATGCAGGAACTGGAGACCTCTCAGGCTAAGTTCCTTCACCCTGTGCTCTATGGAGGGTGCCTGGGGTCAGTCATTTCCAGACAGGGTCTGAGAGGCCACGAGGGCTACCGTCGACCCCAGGGGAGACTCGCACCCCCGCCTGGGCTGTGAGCAGGGCGCTGCGTCCAGCTGTACTTGTCAGCACAGTGCTACAAGGGAGCCGCCCCCTGCCCCCCTCGCGCACCCGAGCCCACCCCACTCACAAAGCCGTTGCCCATGATGCGGCAGAGTCCCTTGAGCGAGTCGCAGTCTCTGTTGGTGAAGTGGAACTGTGCCAACTGGGAGTTCCGGAACAGGGGCCCCAGAGTGGTCTGGGGGTGACAGGGGACAGACAGCTGCGTCAGCCAGGCATGGGGGTGCTCAGAGTGGGTGGGGCGGGCGGGGCGGGTCTCACCAGCAGCTGCTGCGGAATCAGCTGCATGATCAGCTTCTGCGGCCACTGGTCGGTCTCCCTATGGGAAAGAGCCGGTCAGAAAGGGCTGCCCTGATCCCCATGGCCACAGCCACTGCCCCTGCCACCGCCCTGGCTGCTGCACCCCGGCACTCACAGGTTCTCGCCTTGGTTCACATAGGCTTGGCAGGGCAGGGTCCGCTTCAGCTTTGCAGTGGAGTCAGAGTAGGGTCTGCGCTTCTGTAGGGGCAGGAGGGGCGTCACTGTGCACAGCCTAGATGCCCCAGCCTGTCCCCGCGGGGACAAGACAAGACCCTGGAGACCAGCTGCAGCCCCACAGGGACTCACCTCCTGCCACTCAAGGACGCCGCTCCAGGCCAACAGCTTGTTGCTGAGTCGGTGCTCGCTCACGGCCAGACCCCCGAGGGTGAGCCCAGGTGAGGAGGGACTGATGGGACCCAGCGCCCCGAAGACCCGAGCACCTTCCTGCAGTGGAGTGGGGGGTAGGTGGGAAACTGAGGCTGGGGCCTGCAAGGACAGGCAGTCCCCACATACCCCAGAGGGGATGTCCCAATATTCAGACCCAAATCCCCTGTTGGAAGCCCACCAGGCCATGTCCAAACTCTCTGCTCACCCCTCAGGACTCCAACACGCTGGTCCTCATGTCCTTTCCCACTGCTCCCCCTCAGGACCCTTCCTTCCCAGAGCCTGCTGTCACCTTGACACTGGCCCAGCAGAGTCCTGAAGCCTTCAGCCAGCCCCACCTCCAGCCTTTGCCCCAGCTGTGTGCCTGATCGATTCCTTGAGACCCAAGTTAGAAGCCGGCTGTGGGGGACTTTCCATGTGCCCCAGGCTGGGCCCAGGGCTTCCTTGCAGCCTCCGCAGACACAAGCCGGCCTGTGCTGTGTCTGTCCCGCAACTAGCTTGCCCTGTCTGAAACTCTCCTAAGGCTCCCAGTCACTCCGAAGTTCAACTCCTCCCTCTAGCTGCCAGTGCCCCCCTCTCTGGCCTTATCAGTCTGACCCCAGGGAGACAGGAAGGAGGTGACAAGAAACACAGAGGGGACTGAACCATCTAGGAGAAAGACAGGGAGGAGAAGGGGGAAACACGTGGAAGAGAGCTGGGACACCACCCCCTGGAGGAGCCTCACAGACCAAAACACGTAGAACACCAGGAGAAGCGTCTAGCAATAAAGCCAAGCAAAGCCGCAGATACTACTCACAGGGCACCCTCCCATTATTTTATTTTTTATTACTACTACTTTTTTGAGACAGAGTCTCACTCTTGTTTCCCAGGCTGGAGTGCAGTGGCGCGATCTCGGCTCACTGCAACCTCGCTCACTGCAAGCCGCGCCATCATGCCCAGCTATTTTTTTTTTTTGGGTTTCACCATGTTGGCCAGGCTGGTCTCGAACTCCTGACCTCAAGTGATCCGCCCACCTCGGCCTCCCAAAGTGCTGGGATTACAGGCGTGGGTCACCGCACCTGGCCTCACTTATTATTTTTTAAAACCAGAAACATCTCAAAGCAAACAAGGGAAAGCTTCGAAAACAGCCTGGCAGCAGGAAACCCTCGAGTTTCCCCATAGTAGGCTCCTCCAGGCAGAGGAAACAAATTATAAGGGTGATTTCTTTTTGTCTTATTACAAACAGGTATTTTCCAAATTTTCTATGAAGCACAACGAAATCTTTCCTTCCAAAATACTAGCAAACAAAAAATCTTACTTTGTGAGCGCTTAAAAAGAGACACCTGAACAAACCTGCTCTCCACCCTTGCAGGTGATTCTGACTTTTGGGCAATCATCAAAAGATCAGAAAAAACACCTGAGTATCTTGGCGTTAGAATGAGCTGGACAGAGAGTGGATGTTGCCCCGGGGGCTTCAGGCACCATACCGGACATCCAGCATCTGAGAAGATGTATTAAAACGCACAGCTGGAGGTGGTTTTAGAGATGAGGGTACACTTGCAACATACAAGTTGTTTATGGCGCTGGGACCTGGGATATCTAGACTGCATACACAAGTCCGCATATACAGTGACACGTATGCATTTACTGCCACAAAGATGGGTAAAAATCAGGCGAACGCACTTAAGGGCCCAAGCGACATACTTAATGTCTGCTTGTTTAGGAGGGCAGGTTGACTCAGGACTTCAAAAGATGCTGGGATCTGGAGCCATAGTAAAGAGCAGGCATGCATGCCTAAAACCCAGGGATACCTTCCACAGCAGGAGCAGCATATCAAAATGGGACGATCACATTTAAAGACGACGGGTAAGGTGCAACCTAAAGGAAATCTCACATCTTGGCAAGTGTGTGCAAAACTGTGCGCGCCTGACATCCCTACTGCACAGGGAAGCCCATCTAGTACCTACACTGAGGTTTAAAGCCTTGGGCTGCATGTCTGAGGGCCCGGAAAGCACTTTTGAACGACTAGATGCGAACGCTGCAGGAAGGGGCAAAGACAGTGGAGTGAAGGGATACGTTTAAGTTCTGGGAGGTGATCTGAGTCTGGGTACCCATGTTTATGACCCCAGGAAGCCTGTTTTAAGGTTTCAGTAGGGCTGCCACAGCCCTGTGCCATCCACACCGCTGGGGAGTGTATTTAAAAAGCGGACTGCAGCGCGAACCCAAGGGATATCTCACATTGGGGCAAGCGTGTGCACGGTGCAAAGTCGCGATGTGCAGTTTTACAGCCCCAGGTAAACCTTACTAGGGGTTTCTGAAAAGCATGTGCGTCTTTTGGGTCCGGGAAAGCCTGTGCAGCCCAAAGTACCTGCGAAGCTGAATGTTTACGTTTAAGGTCTGGGCTCACGGCAGTCCATCAAAGCATCCCACATCTGGGCGCGGGCGCACATTCTAGGTGCGCACTCCACCGGCACAGCGCGGGCCCCAGGGAGAACGCCCACGGGTGCGACATCTGGGGGCGCTGGTACAAAGCGCGGGCCCCTCCCTCGCCGCTGTCCCCCAACCCCCGCCCCCATTTCCAGGTTTCCTGCCCGGAGAGAGCAACTTTCCAATGGGGAAAAACAAACGCGCGTGCTGGCCGCCTGTCCGCCGCCCCCCACCCGCGTTTAAATCTGGCCGCAGAGTCAGCAGTAATTTGAGCCCGCCCCGCCCCCGTCCCCCACCCCCCCACCCCGGCCCGAACGCGCAACAAAGGGGAGAGCGCGGCGCGAACCACCGGGGGCTCCACGGGGGAACCCGGCCCCGGCCGGCACCACCCTTCGGGCCACAGGGGACACCCCGGAGCGGCGGGGGCCGCGGACAAAGGCGTGAGCCCGGGGTAGGGGCTGGGGGGGCGGGGCCGTGGAAGGCTCTGGAAAAAGGGCGGGGGGCTCACCATGGGAGGGGCCGAGCGGGCCCGGATCCGCGGAGGCTGCGGGCCTCGGGGGCTGGCCGGCCAGGAGCGCGAGCGGACAGCGCGCGCTACGAGGGGCCGCGGGGGGCGGCCGCGACCCCCGAGGGGGCCCCCGGCGCCGGAGCGGTACGGGGCACGGCGCGGACGGACCATGGCGGGCGCGGGCCGAGCGGGCGGGGAGCTGCCGCGGGCCACAAGGGGGGCTGCAGGCTCCACCGACTGAGGAGCGCGGGCGCGCGGCTTCGGGGTAGACGGGTTGAGCCGCACCAAGCTCGGTGGACGCGCCGCCGGAGTGGGGTCGCGGCGGCCGAACCACTGAGGCGAATGGGGGAGCCCGGCGCGTATCAAGCGCGTCCGAGGGGGCGTGGCCGGAGCGTACCAAGGCGGCGCGGGGGAGCGGGGCCCTGGCGGGAGCGGAGTGTGGGCTCGGCGGTCGGGCGGGCAGCTCCGGCGCGGGGGAGGGCCTGGGAAGACGCGCGAGCAACAACTTCAGGGGGCGTGGCGGGAGCGGGATTCCCTACCAAACGGGGTGGCAGAAGAACGAAGGCGACACCAAGCTGGCCCCTTGCCGGGGTCGGGACGGCGGGAGACCTCATCCGGAGCCCTGGACCCGCAGAGCCGGGAGACCGCGCCAAAAGACATAAGGGAAAAGAGGAGGACAGAATAATGGGCCTGGGGACAAGGGAACCCACTAAAAGGGAACCCACTGAGAGTACGGATTGCACCCGAGCCTGAGGGGAGAGCTGAAGGTTTGCAGGCGGTGACGTGGCGAGGTGGGCAGGGGACTCCAACTCCCAGCGGCCCCCGCGCGGCTTGGGGGTGGGGGCAGCGGTCCACGGAGGCTCCGCCCATTAGTCCCAGCACCCAGGCTCCGCCCGCCGTCCCTGGCTACTCCAAGCCACTCGCCTCGCTCCCCGGCCTTCCGTGGATTCGCTCATTCGCTCTGCTAAAATGAAATGACTGCGTAGCCGCTTACTAGTTGTTGGCCGAGACGGGCGGATCACGAGGTCAGGAGATCGAGACCATCCTGGCGAACACCGTGAAACCCCGTCTCTACTAAAAAAATACAAAAAACTAGCCGGGCGAGGTGGCGGGCGCCTGTAGTCCCAGCTACTCGGGAGGCTGAGGCCGGAGAATGGCGTAAACCCGGGAGGCGGAGCTTGCAGTGAGCTGAGATCCGGCCACTGCACTCCAGCCCGGGCTACAGAGCGAGACTCCGTTTCAAAAAAAAAGATTTTTCCCTCGATTTGGCCGGGCGCGGTGGCTCAAGCCTGTAATCCCAGCACTTTGGGAGGCCGAGACGGGCGGGTCACGAGGTCAGATCAAGACCATCCTGGCTAACACAGTGAAACCCTGTCTCTACTAAAAAAAAATACAAAAAACTAGCGGGGCGTGGTGGCGGGCGCCTGTAGTCCCAGCTACTCGGGAGGCTGAGGTAGGAGAATAGTGTAAACCCGAGAGGCGGAGCTTGCAGTGAGCCGAGATCGCTCCAGCACTCCAGCCTGGGCGACAGAGCGAGACGCCGTCTCAAAAAAAAAAAAGATTTTTCCCTCGATTTTTGTTCCTTCAACGTGGGTAACATCTAACCCTAGAGTGGTTATGTGGATCAAATGCTTGACGCAGCCACTACTCAAAGGTTAGATTTTCTTAACAACAAAAATCTGTTATGAGTACCCTGTCCGGTTCTGTGCACGGCAACGACCGAATCAGACCAGGTCCCTCACAGACCCCACGGTCCACTGGGGAGAGGCATAATCACAGGCTGTGCTAAGTGTTAACTAGCACATATCCACAGGGCGATGGGATATGACCATAGGGAGGTAAAGTTAGCAAGCAAGGGAAGTCAAGAAAGTGACCTGTGAGCAACCTGCCATTCCAGATGGCTGGAAAAGTGTGCCAAGAGGACAGAACAGCAAAGACAAATCCTGAAAGTAGAAGGAATAAAAGGGAGCCAGTGTGGGTGGAGCCGAGTGAAGGTAGACAGGAGAAATAGACACAGCTGTAAGAGGTTAGGGAGGGAATCCCTACTTCTGTTTGGGATATTGACTAAACAATGTAGGTAGATTTTGATGTCATAGCCTGCAGAGAGAAATTCGGGAGTCATCAGTATTTGAATGGAGACTGGATAAGATCCCAAAGAGATTGGGACACTCATCCCTTTAACAGTCACGACAATGAGAAGCAACCAGCAAAGGACACCGAGGAGTGGCCAGTGAAATGGCAGAAGAACCTGTAGGCCCGTCCATGTTTCCCTGCCCCCACTAAGCCTCCTGCCCAGGGGATTCCCAGGGCTGACTGGAGCCCAGCCTTAAGCCCCAAATCCAACCTGGATTGTGGCCAAACAGAATCAGTGCTCCCTGGACACAAACTGCAAGTTAGTTATCAACAGGTACCTCCAATGCCCTGTCAATCACCCATGTGAGGACAACCTGGCAGCAGGAAGGAGAAAACCCAGACAGGAGCTTCTTTAATCTCCCTGAATCTTTACTTCTCCCCATTCTTGTTGGTCCAAACCATCGAGATCTCTTGCCTGGGTGACGCCTCCTAACTCTTGCTGCCTTCTCTGTCACTGCAATAATCAAAACCATCCAATGGCTTCCCATCCCAATCCCCTTAGAACTAAATCCAAACTTGGTACTGTGGACCCTGCTGCTGCCCCCCCAAAAAACTCTTTCCCATCCTTCCTGTTCTCTACCTAGTTAATGCCTTCCCATCCCTCAGAACCCACCAGGACGTGCATGAGTTTGAATGCCTTGAATTGTATAAGCATGGGGAAAGGTATATGAGGGTGTACTCCAGAGTGAGCAAAATGGGAACTCATGTCAGAAAGTGAAATGAAAATGTAGGCTGAAATTCTATCAGTAATACTGCAACAAAACTCTCTGAAACCATCTCACTCAGTCCACCAACTTGAAAGACGCTTTCCTTTTCATCTGTGAAGCCCACTGCCGGGGCTAGCAGGCTACTATTATGACTAAGCAATTCCACTTCCATCTCTCAAGCTGCTTACTTCCTGAAAGGTAGCTGTTTGATCCAAACCTGTTTATGCCAGAAGTTCTTTAATTTACAATCCAAATAATGAAATTAATGTAAGAGAGTTGTTTATATACAAACCAGATTGCTTGCTTTGGAAAGACTAAAAGGGAGTTGTTAAAAGAAAAACATCAGGCCTGGCTCACACCTGTAATTCTGCACTTTGGGAAGCCGAGGTGGGTAGATCACTTCAGGTCAGGAGTTCAAGACCAGTCTGGCCAACATGGTGAAACACAGTCTCCACTAAAAATACAAAAATTAACCTGACATGGTGGTGTGTGCCTGTAGTCCCAGCTACTCTGGAGGCTAAGGCAGGAGACTCGCTTGAACCCAGGGGACGGAGGTTGCAGTGAGTCGAGATCTCACCACTGCGACTCCAGCCTGGGTAACAAAGCAAGACTCCATCTCTAAAAATAATTAAAAAAAAAAAAATGCTGCCAGTTTAGGTACAAGTAAAGCAACTGTAAATTATTTAATGAAAAAGCTCATAAAAACCTAGGAAGACTCAGTTCCCAGTTTGTTTCATAAACGTCTTTAGGTTCTCAAGCCACTTAAAAAAAAAAAAAAAAAAAAAAACTTGGCCGGGCGCGGTGGCTCACACCTGTAATCCCAGCACTTTGGGAGGCTGAGGCGGGTGGATCATGAGGCTCAGGAGATCGAGACCATCCTGGCTAACATGGTGAAACCCCGTCTCTACTAAACATAAAAAAGAAATTAGCTGGGCATGGTGGCAGGCGCCTGTAGTCCCAGCTACTCGGGAGGCTGAGGCAGGAGAATGGCGTGAACCTGGGAGGCAGAGGTTGCAGTGAGCCAAGAGCGTGCCACTGCACTCCAGCCTGGGCGACAGAGCGAGACTCCGTCTCATAAAAAAAATTAAAAAAAAAACTTAAAATGATTCATTGTGGTTTGTGGGTGGAGCTTATACAAGAATGTGATGTTCCACTGGGCGCGGTGGCTCATGCCTGTAATCCCAACACATTGGGTGGGAGGCCGAGGTGGGAGGATTGCTTGAGCCCAGGAGCTCGAGACCAGTCTGGGCAACATAGCGAGACTCCCACCGCTACAAAAACTACAATAATTTGCTAGGCATGGTGGCCAACATGGTGAAACCACATCTGTACTAAAAATACAAAAAATTAGCTGGGCATGGTAGTGGCCACCTGTAATCCCAGCTACTAGAGAAGCTGAGGCAGGAGAATCACTTGAACCCAGGAGGCGGAGGTTGCAGTGAACCGAGATTGTGCCACTGTACTCCAGCCCGGGCGACAGTATGAGACTCCGTCTCAAAACAAACAAACAAAAAAGATAATAAAATGCTTTATACTAAGAAATGGGAGTAAGATCATCTCTGGCTTGGATTTTTCTTTTTTCTTTTTTTGCCATTACAAAATAGTGTATGGCTGAATTTTTTTTTTTTTTTTTTTTTTTAAGGTCTGCCTGATACATGCTCTGCAAACTCTAGGTAAATTTCAACTTTCTCGTCATTATTTGTGTCCAGGTGCAGCGGCTCACACCTGTAGTTTTCAATACTTTGGGAGACTGAGGTTGGAGCATTGCCTGAGCCCAGGAGTTTGAGACCAGCCTGGGTAACGTAGCAAGACTCTATCTCTACAACTATATAACTAGCCAGGCATGGTGTCACATGTCTGTAGTCCCAGCTACTCTGGAGGCTGAGGCAGGAGAATTATACTTGAGGCCAGGAGTTCCAGACCAGCCTGAGCAACATACTGAGACTATTTCTCTACAAAAACTACAAAAATTAGCTGGGGACGGCGGTGCGTGTCTGTAGTCCCAGCTACTCAACAAGCTGAGGTGGGAAGACTGCTTGACCCCTGTAGGCAGAGGCTGCAGTGAACTAAGATCATGCCACTGCACTCCAGGGTTGACAGTGGGACCCCTGGCAATAATAGTAGTTAAATGTTTCTCAAGAACTTCATGTCTGAACCCACTGAATTCTCACACAGCAGACCATGAGTTCAACAGTCTTTTTATCCCCACTCCACAGATGGGGAAACCAGGAATCCACAAGCAAAAGCCTGAGATCACAGGCTGCAGAGACACAGGGCAGGGACAGGGCCCAGGTTCTTAATCTCAGTAGGTGTTGGCCTCCACTTTGTGGAATAAACAAGGGGCACAGCCCCTCGGGCTTGGGACCATCTTACCCTCGTCACTGCCGCACTTCTTAGCTTCTCTGCCACCATCTGCCCTCCAGCACAGACCATGCTGAGTGTTCCCAGATTGTACAAGGCAGACCTGCCCTATCCCCAAACCCAGGGTCCTGGGTTTGAGATTACAGGCAGGAGCCACTGAGCCCAGCC